CCCCCCCCCGGCTGCTGTTATGTCAGATACTCTCTTTCACAATAGCTCTTAATAACAGCACAGTGCACGTAAGGGCTCGGTCCAAAGCTGTGTGACTTCTCCCCGGTAACAAGTGAGGAAACTGAGGCTCAGAGGTGTTCAGCAGGTTGCCCAGGGTCACACGAGCTAGTGAGTGATGGAGCCCAGGTGCGGTCCAGATCTGACTTCAAAAGTGAGTGCTCTCCCCCGCCGCTGCTTCGCACGCCCCTCATTCAGCGGACCTTTACTTGGTTCCTGCCACGGGCTAAGCCCTGCACTGTTGGTCGGGCGAGAATGTTCAGGTTAAGACATTCAGCCGGGACCTGTCCTGCGGTCTCTGACGGCAGACTCTTCACCAAAATCTTGAGGTTGCACAGCCCGCATCTCATGCGTTTCCCTGGTCGAATGCAACTGTTGGCTCTCTTTGGCGTCTACCCTGCTGAGCTCAGGTGGAAAACAGTGGACTCTCTGGTCAGTTCCACCGCAGGTTGATGGTTCTCAGATGCCATCGGACTGTGTTCTCCACTTGTCCTCTGTCCGTTCCCTCGTCTGTCCTCACAGGGGGTGGTCTCCGAAGGCGACAGGTTTATGCTGAAGAAATTGCTCGTCCGAGGATAGGGTTAACGTACCCACACGAGTGCTTGCGTTTCTCCTTCTTGAAGGACCTGTATGTCGTTATCAATGGTGGCGTGGAGGAAACCACAGAGCTGCTGAAGCAGCGATTTGACCACATTCTCTATACGGGAAGCACGGCGGTGGGAAAAATCGTCATGGAGGCCGCCGCCAAGCACCTGACCCCTGTGACTCTTGAACTAGGAGGGAAGAGTCCGTGTTACGTGGACAGAGACTGTGACCTGGACGTCGCCTGCAGGTGAGGCGGGTCCAAGGGGACCCGGGGGGTTCCCGACAACCTGACGGGTTGATGGATCCTCTTGGCACTGAAACCCTGGGCCCCCCAGCTCTGAGAGACATCATGAGCCTACGGCGGTTGACGTCCTCAAGGGCGCTGGGACTTGTTCCCAAGCTGACTCTGGTGCCACTGCCAGAAGAGCAGCGTTTCTGGACATCGCGTGGTTGTCCTTAGGAGTTAGGAAAAAAGTTTTGTCTGGCTGTGGCAGGAGATTTAACTGTTTTGCTGGCAGATGATCCAGGAAGTAGATGAAGTCTCGTGTGTACCTAATAAAATCCTTAAATTCCCAAAAGAAAGGTTGTTGACCTCTTTAACAAGTCCCTTTGTTGACAAACTCAGGATTACTCAGACTCCTGTTTTAACTGAGAGTAACATCTTGCAGGGGAGCCTGGGTGGCTCAGTCGGTTAAGCGTCTAACTCTGGATTTTGCCTCAGGTCACGGTCTCACGGTCGTGGGATCGAGCCCCATGCAGGGCTCTGCGCTGACAGCGTAGAACCTGCTTGGGATTCTTTCTCCCCCTCTTTCTCTGCCCTCTCTCCCACTTGGACATGTTCTCTCTCTCTCTCTCTCTCTCTCTCTCTCTCTCTCTCAAACAGAGAAAAAAGGAATACCATCTTGTCAGGCTGGGAACCAGAAAACAAAAGGTTGCAGATTCTCTCTGCTAAATCAGGTTCATCTACCAGGGAGCACCCAGACCTAGAACAGACTGCATGTTTGGGGTGGCGTGGCTCTTTTCTCCCCTTCAGAGATGGGCAAGGATGGTTTGTAGGCAATCAGGCCGCGTCCAGGTTGGCTTTGTAAATAGAAGTCTCCTTGCCAGAACATGAGGCCCCCCAGTGAAGGTTTTGATCCATGTCTGGGCACAGCTTTCCAAAGTGGGGAGGGGCCTCCACAGAGATGCGGGTGTCTTGGAGGCTGGCTGTTGTCCTGCTTGTACCTGAACATCTTGCCACAGCATTTAGAGCCACAACCAGAAGTGGAGTCTGTGTGGAACTCCTGTCATCCCTGCTGTCCCCTTGGCTGAAGTGGGAGAAAAGGAGGGTGTGGGGGGGCTTTCTTTTCTGGAAGCAGGCCGTGGCGTCACTGCTCGTAAAGTGCTGTTTCCCATGAGCTGGCACGAGAATTCCCTTCCTCCGTAGAATGTTCTGTGTCAGTTGGAAAATGCATTCTAAGTTCCAACCAACTGATTTAGAGATGAGTTTTACAACATTTTCATTCTCTAAATTTTTTTTAATGTTAATTTATTTTTGAGAGAGAGACAGAGTGAGAGCAGGGGAGGGGCAGAGAGAGAGAGGGAGACACAGAATCCGAAGCAGGCTCCAGGCTCTGAGCTGTCCGCACAGAGCCCGATGCGGGGCTTGAACTCGCCCACCACAAGATCATGACCTGAGCCAAAGTCAGATGCTCAACCGACTGAGCCACCCAGGCGCCCCAGCATTTTGATTCTTTATAAAGAGTATTAAGTAAATCTGTGAGTGCATGCTAGCTGCAAAATACTCAAACAACACAAAAGTGTGTCAAATGAATAGTAGGCTGGATTTTATGGATGTTCTGGTTTCCCCACCTCCCCCCAGGCGCATAGCATGGGGGAAGTACATGAATTGTGGTCAGACCTGCATTGCTCCTGACTACGTTCTCTGCGAACCATCCCTCCAGAATCAAGTTGTGCAGAAGATTAAGGAAACCGTGAAGGTTTGTGTTTTAACACATCTGATCTCATTGGTTTCGTTAAGATAATGCAGTCAAATCAGCTCTGTGCAGGCAGCACCCCTGTTTCCCCTCCCCCCATGGAAATTCCAGTAGCACATGTGGCTGCATTCATTTGTGGGCTTATTAAAAATGCCCCGTGCACCTTTCACAGAAGGGTCTGCTAGTAGCCAGGTTAAGTTGGCATTTAACCCACATCAACTGCCTAGTTTTGTTGACGAAACCACGGGTTAGCTGTAGCACGTGCTTTGAAAAAAAGAGTAAATAACTGTGTTTCGTGGTTTTGAGAGAACGTTGCCAGTTCTTTGAAGTGCACCCAGAGGTCCTTCGGCATATTGGCCATTGCTGATTAAGGTTATCCGTTCTTGTGCGTGAGGGGGCATAGGAAGACCAGTAGTTTAGAGGGGAGAGTTTATCCAGTACCTGTTGGCAGAATACTCTTGACTTGGTTATCAGTCTTTCGAGGTGTTGAAACTCAAGCTCTCTATAGAGGGAATCAGGGAATGCTGCATGGTAGTGACCTGAGCTAAGCATCAAAGAAATGTAGGATTTGGATTGGAAGCAAGGGTTGGGGTGACTGAGCTCACCCGTCGGAAGGGGTCGTTAAGCCCCCTGAGTGGAAGAAATTATTGGCACATTGTTCACTCAGCAGATGCTAACTGAGCACTGGAAGGATCAGGAACACTGAAGGGTAACACACACGATCAGGCAATGGAAAGCGTATATGCTGGGAAGTTTAGAAGAAGAATGGTGATCCAGGCACGAGGGGTGGAAGGTGTTGATGGGGGAATTGGATGTGAGAGCTAGGACTGGAGATGGGGCCAGACAAGGAGAACATGGAATGTGGGGCGGCAGTGTGGGGTTCAGGATACCTATGGCACAGAAAGCCCTTGGAGATTGAAGACGTGCTTAGCTGAGGATGGAAATGAACTCGGTTTCAGAGGAATAAGAAAGATCTCCCCTCTGCCTGCCTTGCGGGCTTTGTATTCTTAAGCGTTTCGTAACTGAGGTTCACCAGGGAGCCATTTAATTAACGAAAAGTTTCTGCTCCTCACCTTGCAAAGACTGTGACTCAGTTGGTCTGGGGTCTCGACGTGACCCTCAGGTACAGCCAGCATTAACAGCATCATTGGTGGCTCCGGAGTTGGGGCACAGGAACTCGCACCAGCAGGCTGTCACCCAGCCTTGAGGGCATTTGGTTGGAGGGTGGGTGAACGCTTGCTGTGATTGGAGAGCACATCGAGAGCGTTCACAGAGCCTCGAAGTGATGTGGCAATTCAGTAATTTTGTGTTTGTTTTACGTAATTGGTGCCGATCATAGGATTTCGTTTTCCTGGCACCTGTGACTGCTGGCAATACCAGTCCAGAGAAGATGTAAAATAGTGCAGTAGCAGAAAGTTCAGCAAACTTTTTTCCGTAAAGGGCTAAATAGTAAATAGTTTAGGCTTTGCAGCAGGCCACGGGTTTCTGTTACAATAAGCAGGAGCAGGGCGGCCACAGTCGCATTGTAAACGAATGGGTGGCCCTGACTCAGAGCCAGACCTCCCCCTACACCCACATTCATCCCCCGGGACAGCCCCCCGGGGGTCTGCGAGGGATCACCATGAAGCCCCCAAACTATGGAGAGTCCTAGGTCTGTGCACGTGTCCTTGACCTGCCAGAAAGCTTAGACACTATTACTTGAGGGAGGAGGGTGAGGATATCAGATCAGGCCCCCCAGATCAGTTTTGGGGGCATGAGCGGGTTTTATAGTTATTAAGGAAATTGACACATGGGTCTTTTGTGGCAATTAAATGCTGTTGTTTTCAATAGGAATTTTATGGAGAAAATATAAAAGAATCCCCTGATTACGAAAGGATCATCAATCTTCGCCATTTTAAGAGGATACAGAGTTTGCTTGAAGGACAAAAGATAGCCTTTGGTGGCGAGACCGACGAGGCCACACGCTATATAGGTAATGGAAATTCACCTTTTGCTGTGGGGACGTGCAGTTTGATGGTTTTTATTGACGCTCTTTACCCATACTAAATAAGCCCTTAGATACATAACGTTTAATCAAAGATTATAGACTGTGGTCTGGTATACTGCTTCCTAACCCATTTCAAGAGGGTTTTACGTCTTTATAAATAACACCACCTGTGATGCACTGGCTTTTTGCCTCTACACGTTTCATCTGTTTTTTTGTTGGTTTGTTTTCCTCCCTACAACCTGTAACCTAACAACCCTGAGAAGCAAAATAGAACTCCGTGTGATTATTTCTGGATTCTGGCTGGGAAAACAACAGCACAAGGAAGGAAATCACTTAACTGCAATTTTACAAGTAACCAGTCGCGGTTCTCTTCCAGAAATAATGTGTTGAATCGCTTTCTCAGCCTTTTGGCTAAGATCAAGTGCAGAAATAATGTGTTGATCTGTTGTGCTGGACCTTATTACTTGTGTACTCTGTTTTTGTGTTCTTTTATTCTTTGCCATGAATATGTCTTGTTGTCGACTTTTATTTTTAATTGATTTTTAATGTTTATTTTTGAGAAATTCAGAGCACAAGTGGGGGAGGGGCAGAGACAGAGGGAGAGACAGAATCCGAAGCAGGCTCCCGTCTCTGAGCTGTCAGTGCAGAGCCCGATGCAGGACTCGAACTCAAGAACTGTGAGATCGTGACCTGAGCTGAAGTTGGACGCTTAACCGACTGAGCCACCCAGGCACCCCATTGCTATTGAATTTTAAACATGTTGCTCTAAAATAACATAAGATGATGGGGATTACGGAGACACTTACTTGGCAAAAAAAAAAAAAGCTGCCCCAAATAGCTTTACTTATCCCTTCTTAGCAGGTCGGATGCTGCACGTCACCAGAAAACCCTAAAACCTTAAAGGACTTAAAACAATAAGGAAAAGTACATTCTCTGGTCATGAGCCATCCCAAGGCGCTTCTGGCCTGTTCATTTGGTGGCCCAGTAATGGCCTCAAAACCCCCAATTCTTTCATCTTTCTGTTCTCCCATCAGCCATTGCTTTTGCCCACTCCCGGGCCAATCAGTGGCAGGAGGAAAGGTCTATTGTGATTCGCTCAACCAGTTAGGAACCTCCCCCTGACCTGACGTCAGGGTCACCTTACCTGAGCACATGGCTATGTGGAGAGTATAGACACCCAAACCGAAACGGTTCTCTGAGCCCGGGCAGCGGCGGGCAGTGGGTTTGGGGTAGCCGCATAGGTCCCCCTGGAAGGTGCTGGCAACAGCCGTCTTCTGCCGCATCGCCAGGATATCCTGGCAGGAAATTAGGGGGAAGCGAAGAGAGCAAGCTTGTCATTGTCGAGTGTCTTCCCTTTTCATTGGTGACCCAGCTTGTTTACAGCGTCTTTTGGAGCACTGTTCGTTGGGGACTGACCTGGTGCAGACGCCCGGACACTCTGCAAAGCTTCGTCAGCATCCATGTTGCTCTCCCTCCTTGCGCCCCTTCCCCAAAGCGGATAGAACTTTGAGAGCCTTGGCCATTTTAAATACATTCTCCTAACCTCTCTAACGGAGTTGAAATAAGGTCAACGAGATCATATGCGTGAAAGCACTTGAATTAAGAAGTGGTGTTGATTTGATCCACAGAGGGGCTGTCTACACTCCCAAAAAGACCTGTCCACAGAAAGGTGGAAACATAACCTCCTGGTACATAGGAATATGGCTATGAACAGGGTTAAGTATGAATATACTCAGGTGTGTGGATCTTTCTCTCGGTTTGCATGGGGATCCCCTGATGCACACGCTCGGAGACACATGCACGGTTCATCCACATGCGTCCTCGGGACTCTTTTCTCAATAGCTAATACTTGGGCAGGAGTGGGAAGGGGATGGATAGGTGACCCAGCGAAACAAACGGAGGATGAGAGTTTGGCATTCCTGTCTTCTACTTGAGGATTTCATTTTGCGCATTTCTTTTCTCAGCACCAACGATCCTTACCGACGTCGATCCCGAAACCAAGGTGATGCAGGAAGAAATTTTCGGACCAATTCTTCCAATAGTGCCTGTGCGGAATGCCGATGAAGCCATAAAGTTCATAAACAACCGTGAAAAGCCTCTGGCCTTCTACGTCTTTTCTCATAACGAGAAGGTAAACTTTGCGGGGAACGGCTCCCTGGCAGAAGCCGCCACCGCAGACCGTGTCCCTTCTTTGCCACAAAGCAACGATGGTTTCCAGCAGAGTTCCACCAAGTGAGGCTGTAGTCGCAGCTTGCCGTCTTGGGTAATGAGGCTCTGGGGTTGTTGCTGTAACCTTTCCTATACTCCCTGGGGTTCAGCAGGAGTCTTCAGGGTTATGTCACAAGTTCTTTGACTCGCAAACATCTCCCCTGGAATTGGAAGACTTGCGTGTTCTGCCGTTAACCCACAGGGCTTTCCTGTGTAAGAGCTTTGTCTCTCACCCCGACGGCATTCGCAGCCACTGAAGTGGGCCATGTGGCGCCACGATCTCTGGCGCGGCCGTGGAAATGGTTGCAAAACCTCACACTTCGTCTTTCCAGCGGTATCCCTTTGTTGTTCGAGCGATGGAACCATACCAGCCCAGGGAGTGCGTCATACCGTAGCCAGGGCAAGGCACTGGGCAGCCGCTTTGCTGCGGGGCCTGTTCGTTTGCATCAGAAGGGGACTGGCTCTTGCAGAGGGACAGTGGCCTCAAGGTGGGCAAGTAGGTTTGAGCCCTCCGAGAAGGGGACTGGCTCTTGCAGAGGGACAGTGGCCTCAAGGTGGGCAAGTAGGTTCGAGCCCTCCGAGAAGGGGACTGGCTCTTGCAGAGGGACAGTGGCCTCAAGGTGGGCAAGTAGGTTTGAGCCCTCTGGAGAAGAGGGAAATCTAGAAAGGGGAGATGGGGATCGGTCAAGGTCTGAGGAGTTCACAGACCACACGTTTTCAGGAGAGCCTCTCATGGCAGCTTCTAGAGCCTGCTGTGCCGCGGAGATGAAGCTTTGTGAAGTGAGATCAGATGCATGGGGCTCAATACAAAATGGGTTATCGACGACGGTCATGACGTTTTAAAGGACCGTAGGTAACGTGGATAGGAACCTTGAAGCAGAAAGTCTGCCGGTCCGGGTACAGGTCAGTGAGGTGCTCTTCCCACAATGGGGGTCACCTGTGGTGACCACAGGCCATTGTGACATTCATTCTAGAACTCTCAAGCGCTTGTTGGTGAGTTTCACCTAGGCAGCGAGGCGAAATTTCCCAGTCAGGTGTCATCATGCCTGTTCTGGTCTCAGGCCAACCATTTCTTCAAAACTAGAATGTCAGCTCTTTGCAATTCTCAAAACTAGAATGTCAGCTCTTTGCAATTCCCAAAAACTGAACAGCATCTATTAATTGTATGCCATGATTTAGAACAGAGATAGGGAAATCTTACCAGTGTTTAACAACCAGATATGTAGTCTGAACGTTCCTTTCTTTTTTTTCATTTTTTTTTTTTAATTTATTTATCTTTGAAGGGAGGGGAGGGACAGGGAGAGGGAGACAGGATCCGAAGCAGGCTCCACTCTGTGAGCACAGAGCCCGACGCAGGCTGAACCCACGAACTGTGAGATCACGACCCAGGCCGAAATTAAGAGTCGGCCGCTTAACCAACTGAGCCACCCGGGCGCCCCCGGACTGTCCCTTCTAAACGAAGACTTTTGTGGCTCCATCGGGTAGTCCTGCTCTGGGCAGTGACGGAGTGAGCAGGACTGGTTCAGTGCTGCCTCCCTCAAAGGACGAGACGTGCATCTAAGAAGTTAAGATACTGATCACACGTTTGCTAAATTGAACAGCCCGTTAAGTTGTTTACATGTTATGGAACGTTTGGCACAGTGTCCCAAACCCGGGTAGTCGTGTCAGCGCATGAAGTCAGCAAGTGCAGGTCCCCCAGATGCTGCTGACCCGGAGCCTTTGTTCTGTTCCACAGCTCATCAGACGGATGATTGACAGCACGTCCAGCGGTGGCGTCACGGCCAACGACGTCATCATGCACTTCACGCTCAGTTCTTTACCCTTTGGAGGAGTGGGTGAGTGTTCCTCTCTGCCCTCCATGGCGTAGATTGCAAATCGAATAATCTGCCCAGGCGGTCTGGGGTCCCAGCTCGATGGTGTTCTCCTGAGGGACGCCACCCTGCCAGGCCCCCTGCTGAGGGGTGACTGTGTGTCCTGTCACCCACTTTCCATCCTTAGCACCCACCACAGTCTGGAACTGTTCTGCTCCTTTTGTCGACTTACTTGTATGTTGGTTCTTACTCAGTTGTTGTCCTTTCCCTAGACTTAGGGGATTTTTTTTTGGCCGGAAGTCAGGTCTCAAATTAATTGATGAGGTTCCCCTGTCTTTTTTTTTTTTTTTTAATGTTTATTTAAATTAAAAAAATTTTTTTAGTGTTTTTATTTATTTTTGAGAGAGAGAGAGACAGAGTGTGAATGGGGGAGGGGCAAAGGGAGAGGGAGACACAGAATCCAAAGCAGGCTCCGGGCTCCAAGCTGTCAGCACAGAGCCCGACGCGGGGCTCGAACTCCTGAATGGCGACATCATGACCTGAGCCAAAGTCGGACGCTTAACTGACTGAGCCACCCAGGCGCCCCTCCATCTGTCTTTTTCAAGATGAGGTCGTGAATGACAGGTTCAGAATGCCAAGGGCAGGCAGCATTCTGGGGTTTCTGATGTCCGTTTGCTGTCTGCTCAGGGTGGCATTAAGTAGTCCTCAGTCCCCACCTGCACTGCTCCCCAAGCCCCTGGTGTGGGGACTAGCCTCTCCTCAAATTGTCTCGTGATTTGAGAAGAGCACGAGATGTCGTGTGTTCTAGAGAAGACGGGCAGGAAGTATTCCCAGTGAAGCTCCGTGGACACATGCCCTTTGGGCTGTGACCCGCCTGCCTCTTTGATGCCAGAGATGACGGCTCAACTCTGTATCTTTCCTTCAGGAGCTAGGTGGTAGGCCTCTCTAACAGCTCATCGAAGAATCACAAATAACGAGCGCATAGGAACTCTCGTAATAAAAAGCAGACAACAAAAGCTACCGTCTCGAAAGCTCTGCTGTGTTTTGTTCCTCTGTAAGAGCAGAAGTGAAGTCGTCCCTGGGAATGAAATGGCTTGTTTTAGCAGGACTACCTGTTCCCAGTCGAGGCCAGCTCCTCCCATGGCCTGCTTCCGCCGCAGGCCACGTATCCCTTCCTAGGAGGCGAAGGAATCGGCAGTACCCAGCGCAGGGCCGGCATATGCGAGGGGCGAGTGGGCAGAGGCCGGGTCAGGGGTCCGGGCTGGTGCGAGTGGTGGCTTGGACTTGGGTGGTTGGGGAAAGGGGCTGAGTGGATCCGGGGAGTCGGGCAACAGGATTTGCCTGATGGATTGAGTATGTCGTAGGGGGGAG